GATGAGGGGGTGTCACACCCCACACACCCCTATCGCGCCGGCTTTGCTCCGGGGGAATTCAGAAAAAAACAAGAAATCTCCTCTTTTTGGAGGTTTTAATTCAATTTTTATAAAAATTCGATATTTAATACTTAAATTTTAATACTTAAATGTATAGAACTGAAAATGTAAAAACTATTAAATGTAAAATGTTTTTAGTCACTAACAGTTTATTGAAAATGTTCACACAGCACGTGTTCTCTTCTCTTGATTACACAATATTGAGAAATGCGCGCGCATCTAAACTTAAAGTAAAAGAATTGCTGCACTCAATAATTTTGTCTAAAAAAAATGTTTTTTAGTTTAAGAAAGAGAGGAATGAGTGTGAAGCCAAATTCAAAACTTGCCTAAATTCAAAACTTGCCCAGCATAAATGATCCATTTATTTATGTTTCTCCCATAGATAAACAAATTACCTTATGTTAATTTTATTTATCTAATTGATCTTATTATCATAATTAAGCCAAGGTTATGTAAATTATGCCACCAAAGCTTCAAGTTGGATGAAACTTGACAGTATCTCTATTTGGGATCAAGTTGAAGACTTAACTGTAAACAAAAAAGCCTCTTTTGAATGTTAATAAATCATTGAACCATGATCAATTTTCAAACTTATAAGTTCAATAAGTTTTTGTTATCAAACAAAGACTTATTGAAAAAAATAAGTTCAACAAAAAAGTATAGTTGGTATGATTTATCTTCCCACGTCCATAGTTCTTGCTCTGGTCCAACAAATGATTGGTCGATAACTGTGAAATTGATAACTGATTCAAGCGATAAGTTAGATACAAGTGAACAATGGCTACAAGATGACAATAAGGACAAGTTAAATAATGGAGGAATAATTATTGGCTTGCATTTATATAGTACAGTATATTTTAATATAGAATAACTAATAAGACTTAATTCATCGAGAATCAATAATTGTAAGACAGCAATAAAATTGAATGAGAACATTTTGCAATTAAAATTAATTAACACAAATTGCTGGTTTTTCATTTAAAATTAGTTCGTTTTAATTGCAAAACCAGAAATTTGTGTTAAAAAAACAAATGATATTTAAAAAAAGGGGCTATTATTTTTTTAATTCTCATGAAAGGGGTCCACTCTGGTAATGCCTTGCTAAATAATAAGAATTCTCATTCATTTAACACGTATTGTAAAATCAGGGAAGGGTTATGTCACTCGCCAAGAAGGGGGCTAAAAAGGTCAACAAAAAAAAGTCTGCATATTTTTATTTTTTAGTTTTTTTTTAATTTTTTGTACTTTAGTGTAATAATCAAGTTCATATGCGTATAATTACATATAATATTCAATTTCATTTGTCAGTATAGTAGTGCAATTCTATATAATAGTCAATTTACAAAAGATTTTTTTGAAAAAAGTCCTAAGGGGGTGGGGGAGTGGCTGCTACCCCATGCCCCCCTGCCTAAAACCGCCACTGTGTAAAATCTCCTCTTTTTCAGTGATTACCATATGGCAACCCTAAATAAGTGGTTGTTAATATTCAAATATACCTTATAAATATGATGATAGCTATTATAGACTTATTTTCAAATTATTTGTTATTATTTCTGCTATTTTATTTTTCAGATTCGTATTTAAAATAGAAAAATAGCAAAAACGAAAAAATTCATCAACACTAAGCTTAGTGAATATCTTGGAGGTCCAAGAAAGTTTCTTCAAACTGAATTTTCAACATTACGTGATTGTTAAGAAAATTATCTTAAACGAAATTACCTTGATATTATTAATGCTGCCATTGCCTTTGTCAGATTTGGTGACATCGAATGCTACTGCTGCTATTATTAATGGTCTTCTGAAAGATATCATGAAGGCAGGAAGACTTGTTGAAGATAAAAATAATGTCATTTGTGATAGCATGAAAGTTTTTCGTACCAAAGAGCGTGCTATGAAGTGTTCTAGAGTAAAAGAAAATATAGTCTGTGAAAGAAGTATAATTACTGGAATTTTTGTTGGTGGTAGAAAAGATAAAACTTTAATCTTTATGCACGATAAGACCACAGGTACCTTCAGAAAAAAAATTGTTCAAGAATACCGTATAACTGTGACAGAGAAGCCTAGCGGTTACTATCTTACTCATTATACACCAGTGCTTAAATCTGAATTATGTAAACCAGTCAAACAATGTGCTATTGGATTATTCAACAGGTTAATGGAAAGAGGTAAAGATCTTAATCTCCAACTAATTGGTAGTGACACTACAAATGAAATGTCTGGGTGAAAAGGTGGAATGCTTCATTTTGTGGAGGAACTTATCAATCGAAAACTTTTTAGACTATTTTGCTTCACATTATGAGCTTCCATTCAGTCATGTTGTGGAAAAACTTGAAGGGCTAGCTTCCTCAGGAAAAGAATGGTGTGGAGCAGTTGGTAAACTGTTTTCTAAAGTTGATAATCTTGAAAGAATAACTAAATTTACGCCAATTCCTTTTTTGGAGCCTTTAGTTATTATCAGTGAAGATTTTGTTAAGCAAATGAGCACTGACAGTTTAGTTGCATGGAAGTATTTAAATGCAATATTAAAAGGAAACCTTGATCCTGAAGTAGCAGCTCTTAAATGTGGTAGATTGTCTTACAGTCGATGGCTTATTTGTGGCATGAGATGCTTGCTATATATGAACAAACATGATCTAAAACCTGGGAACGAAGAGGCCTTAGAAAACAGTTTTTTATTATTAATTTTCAGGGGCGTGTACAGGAAATTTTTTGATAAGCCCAAAAAAAAATAATAATAATAAGTCCCCCTCTGCCTCCCTATTTTTTTAGAGAGGAAGAGGGGGACCGCATTTCGACCGGACTGAGTGTATTTTATAAAATTGTTTTTACTCTTTAAATGACTTGTGACATTGATAAAATGGTCACTAAAGCTCAAAATATGATATTTGCAAACTAAAAAAACTATTTTTTGAAAATACTCAGTCGTAATGTATAATATATACAAATTAAATTTTTTACAAGATTTGTAAAAACAATTTACAAGGTTAATACAAGATTTTGCTGTGCAATTTTTTTTATATAACTTTATAAATAATATTTAATTATAAATAAACTTTATAAATACTTAAAGTCAAATAACTTATTGCAATAACTGTACAATGCTAAATGTTTTTACAAAGATGTCAGCTATGAAAATAGCTGTTTACCAAAAAGCAGCTCAAACATTTGAAGTTATACTTTTATCGTATTTGAATTTTATTTAAAACACAACTCATAAGTATTTATAACAAACTTAAAAAGGTTTGTTGCTTGTAATGTTTCAGTATTATTCGATTAAAGTTCATTTTTGAAATTCAGGCAGTCAAGTGAAATTCATCTAAACTTTCCACAGATCAAATTTAAGTATAAAGACTTTGGTTTGGAAATAATAAATAAACCTAATAAAGCCTTTGGTTAAACAAAAGACACTAAAACATATGATTTGGTCTTCCCAACTAGTATAACAAAACCTTGAATTTATGCAATTGTTATTAGAAGAAACTGAATATTAGAAAGAAAAAAGAATTAAAACACAGGTGCTTATAATACTTCAAAATTGTATCAATCAAACATTGTGTTAAACTCAGTAATCAAGATAAAACTCAGATAGTCTAGCAAAAAACAGAGATAACAAAGTTAAAATAATTTGAAATGCAATTTTTTGGCTTGTTTAAAGCATATTTGAAGTTGTTGATTAATAATATTTCTAACTATAGAGACAAAAACTTTTAATGCTTCAATAAGATTTAAACTATAAAAATTATCATTATTACTTGCTTGCAAAATTGTGTAATTAAAAAAGTTATTTTAAAAACATGTCTTGTTAAACACAGTGCATTAATAAAATCAAAGTTTGTTATTAACTTCAGTAGAAGAAGCAGTAGCAGGGGTTGCAATATTATTGACATTATTTGAGACAAAAAACCACATCCTGTGGTTTTTTGTCTCAAAGAATGTCAATATATCTTGTTACTTTAAAAACTGTTTTTAAAGTAACAAGATATATTACGACAATAGTCGTAACATATCTTGATAATTATAATAAAATTATCAAATATTGACAGGGGGCGGCCAGGACCCCTAACTGTTTTTATACATGCCTGGTAGAGTAATCTTATGGGGGGGGGGGGGGTCAATGATAATTTAATCTGTTATATTACTTGTAGTTAATTTTTACTTTGTAAAATTTTACTTTGTATTTATTGTATTAATATTTGTCTAAAACACTTTAAAAGTTAAACCCTAATTTAATATGATTAATTTTATATAAAAACGTAATTTTAAAACCTGTTTCCCGTTAGCTAAATATTAATATTTTACAAAAATATCACTAAAATTGAATTTCCCTTACCCAAATACATAGGAATCCAAGCGTGCTAGTCAAAATTTTGAAAATTTTCTCTGAAGTATGATATACCCTATTGGATAGTTAATATCTTCCAAACTCATCTCTTGGATAGTTAATATCTTTTAAACTCATCTTTTGGATAGTTAATATAAAACTCATCTCTTAAAAAAATGTTTTACACATCATTTAAACTATACTAGTGAAAAAAAGTTTTAAAGTTAGTAAAAATTTTGTAACTTAAAAATCTCCCATGGATGGTAATGTAAGACTCTAAAACATTTGAAACCGACTACTGGTATATTATCACCTCTTAAAAGGATTTTTAAGTATATTTATAATGTTTAATAAAATTATGCAGCCTAGATATTTATAATGTTTAATGGTTCGGTACTGATAAACGTTAATCTTCAGTTTTGCTTTGTTGTTAATGAAATAGTGAAATTCGCTAATTGTGAAATTCCTAATATAAATGTGATATTTTAGATTTATATCAAAAATATAAATGTATATAAACTCATAAATACTTGAATATTATTACACTATTATTTTATAATATATTCATATAAAGCAATTGGAAATTACAAACATTAATAACTTATAATAAAAATCTTACTTGATTTGATGACACTTTCAGATGAATCTATTTTGTCGGAGCGATGAAAATTTTCATTCATTTTTGTAAGTAAAACTTATCATTTATTTTTAAATAATTTAATAATAAAAACATAATATTGAAAATATTTAGTTCGTTTTCAGATGCATCATTAAACCTTTTTTTAATTTAAGGATATGAATTTATTTTTTTATTCAAAGGTATGATTTTTTTCTTAATTCAAGGATATTGCGTTATTATAAGTAATTAATCTATTTAAGTTGCTTAGCAAAATGCTTTTATGAAGGCTGCAAAGGCTGCTGTGTAATTAAGTGCGAAACGAACATTTACTTAAAAAATTAATTGATATATATATATATAATGTGTTGTTATATTTTTAATTATTGACCTTATAAAGTTTAACCCCATCAATTTGAGGCGGTTAAAAATTTTATTAAGCGATAATTTTTAAACGTTAAGAGATAATTATATAAAACTTATAAATTATCGATGATTGTAAATTAATTGAGAATAATAAAAAAACTATTTATCAACTTTTTAATCCAAGACTCTAATCATCGCGATTCTTAGCAAAGCATCCTTATTTTACATAAGTTCAAACATAAAAATGTTTAGAGTTAGCTTTATGTTTGGAAGTTAGTCATCTCAAACGTCAAAAAATGCTGTATAATATAAAAGCGAGCTTGACGTCACAGTTTTTTTTGTATTTATCCATGGAAGTATAAAACAGATGGAAGTTCAACCGCATTGAAATTCTTCGGGACTATGCTTGTAACCTTTTGTTTCGTAAACAATAAGAAAACGACATCAAGACTGTACTTAAACGCTTAATCTTTATACGTTGACGCAAATAGATACGTTTATAATAGTTTAAAAATATAGTGTTTTGAAGGTTCGCCAATAATATTCAAAAAAAACATTAAAAATGGCGCAACGTAACGGCAAACAACAATTTTAATATAAACTTTATATTAAATGAATGGAGTACTACAAGAATGAATGAAGTTATGATACACATCTAATAAAACTTTAAACTTAAGTTATTTAAAAAACAATTTTTTTGATTTTTTAAAAATTGTTTTAGTTGTCTTTTTTATCAAATGTCGTGTTATGACTTGAAGCAAGAAAAGAAGCTTAAACTAACATATGCTTTTAAAAACAAGTGTTCTATTTAATTACCGAGTTTTAATAAATCTTTTGTTGAATAATTGCAATTACTAATGGTTAAAAATTTGCAGCATATCCCTAGAATGATTCATTTTTTAATGTTTTAATAAAGATCATTTCAGTGAATTTTGTTGTTTTTTTCATCCAGTGAAACTTGTTTGTTTTTTTTATTGTCGGTTACAAGCATACTCCCGAGACGACTTGAAATTGCTTTGATGTTTGCGGCTCGATGAAATTCCATCTGTATTATACGGTTATCGAACGAAAGTATCACTCAAAAGGCGATCAAAGTCCACTTGAAAATTATACGTAATTATGCGGAAATTACATATGCAAAATTAAATAAAATATGCTAAAAAAGCTTCGAGAGCACATGTTACTTTTACAGCCGTGAAGGAACAAAAGTGAACTTCAATATTGTTCTAATTGCCACTGTTATATCTGTTTTGAAACTGTTAATCTTATTGTGATTTTATAATTGTTGTTTTGTCAATATCACGGTGCCTTGTTTTCATAACATTCAATTCTTCATTGTCTTTGATTTAGTTAACATTTTTGTGTAAATAGAATAATGTCAATAAGGTAAATAATTCTATAAAAAGGTTTTGTTTTTTTTAATAATTATGAACGGTTTTTCTTTTTATCTATTACAAGATACAGGACATTTTTTAGAGCTATTTACATTTTTAGAGCTATTTACATTTTTAATTTAAAGTTTGAAATATGTGGCTTCGTTCTTGGTACCAAGAACAAGGACTGTTTTAGTTTTTTCACTAGTTTTGGCCCTGAACATAGATCTTGTTGTAACCATGGCCCATGACATTGTCACAACCATGCCCCAATTATAGTATGTTATGATATGTTCATTATCTTTTAAGACTTAAACATGTTGGACAAATTTTTTTCAAATAAATGCAACTTTAACTTAAGTTGGTTAATAATGCGACCTCCTAGAGCTTGTGTATCTAACTTTGATGTTTGTTAAATGTATTAAATATATCAGAGTTAAATATAACGAGCACTTTAATAATGTGTTGAAACTTGATAATTTATTAGTAAATCCACATATGGAATATTTCGCATCACTCTGTCATCTTTTTATGTCGAAGATTATTAAAAAGATAATCTAAAAAGTACATCATGGGATTAGCAAATTGATAATAGTTGCAAAACATCTTCCATATACAGACAATACTTAAATAAGGTTTATGGACACTTGAACAACAATGACACAGATTTGACCTAAAAGAAGTATACAAGATAATGTATGAGTTTTATAGGTCTATTCTATAAGATATTCTTTGAATCAGTGAAAAATAAAAGAAGAAATGGCAACCTTTTTGGTTTGGTAAAGCACAATTTTCTTAACTCAAATCAAATTACATTTTTTCTTAGAACATGTAATTGACCACTGGATCTCATTTAATATCAATACTATCTCAGTCATTTTCCAGAATTTTTTATAGCATGATTCAACAAGTTGTGTATTAAAAAATGGGTTTAGTCATGGACTAACATCTACGTAGTTTGTTATGTCAAAATGACCTTATTGCATAACTAATGATGCCATTAGTAACTAATAAAAAAATAAATAATCTTTTTATATAAATGTTGCTAGTTATATTTCATTTTCAACTTTCAAAAGTATGTTATTAGCCATGCTTTATATTTGCAACATGGGGTTTAGATTTTGGTTTTACAGAGCCTGGAATTCAGTATACTAGTAACACAATGATTTGAATTTGCAGCCTTTTACTTTAGCTCTGCCACGTGTATAATTATCAGCTTCTAAAACTGAACATCATTTAAATGATTAGTTTTACTTATTTGCTCTCCTCATCACAAAGTTTATTGATGAATTTTAATTATTAATCAAAATTACTGTAAAATAAGTAAAATAGCAAAAGCTATTATGCATTATTCTAGATAATAATATTTTTTTTTAGCTCTGATCTTTCAAATCGGACAAATCTTTCAGATTTGTCCGATTATGAAGACATTACTGATACATATAAAGTAGAAGAAGACACTACAACTTTGAAAGGTTTTTTTTTTTTTTTATTCTTTGATATGATTATTAATATAATATAATATCTCAATGAGTTCAAAGTTTTAGACAACACCAAGCCTTGCATTTGCGATTCAGTTGAGGAAGCTACTCGATTTCTTCATAGTTATGAAATCAGTAATTCTGTTAGGTTTGCTGCCCTTTCCACTCCAAAGAGCTTCGAAAGTTCAGGTATAATATATATTTTTAACTCAAGCTTACATTATCTGGAAAAGTGACAATATTTACTTTTATAAATATTAAAAGTTTTGTAAACTCGGTGTAGTTATGGTGATTTTGAAAATTCTTTTTTTTCCATGTTATTTTTCTTTTCTTTTTTTATTTCAGCAAAAATACTGTTGATAAATGGATTTAATTTAGTAAATTTACATGACTGGAATTTACTTTTTCAACCATTAATTGACATTGGATTGGAACATTAAAACAAACATCACCACAAACAAAGTAAGTAGTAATAAAACCACACATAAAAAAATTTAATCTGAGTTAAGGTAAGAAGTATCTCAAAAAATCTTAAATGCTAATGTTCTTAATTGTACTATGACAATTACTCTGCTCTGATTGGCAAAACAAGTTATTGGTTTGACATCTGGTTGTAAGAAGTTGCTTCCACTCTTCTAGAATGTCGTATTTATATTTAAAAAATTGCATTACGTCGATTCATGGGAACAACACATTGGTGTAATTTTCATCAGTTTTTATTAATCATTAACTAACAACCTTGATTCTTATATTCTTGAAAACGCATTTTTCATTCCTCAACTTATTATTAAATCTGGTGGATACACAGGAGATGCACCCACGTCTTATAGATGATCACTGTAAATAATATAAACTTTTAATTATAATCATTTATGTTTAACCTATTGCACATTTTTTATTTGCTTTTCTTTTTCTTTAATTTCTGATTAATTTTCATATTGAGTTGTCAGAATATCAGCATGTGCTTCAGAAAAAAAAAAAATAAACGAAATTATATATTAAACATTTTCATTTGGATGTAGAATTTAATAGCCTAATAATAGCCTTTTCTTTTTTTTTTTTTTCTTTTTACAGAAGACCTACTGGATTCAATTTGGAAATGTAAACGATCCAATTTTAGTAAAATATCAATAAACAAGGCTTCTTTTTTTTTTTAACGTAATTGGAACCTTTCTTTTGATAGACTTACTGTTTTTTGTAATATACCTAACATGTTTAACTAATTACTTTGACTTGGACAAAATAAACTTAAGCTAGATTTAAAAAAAATTGATTCTATAAACTGGTGCTTATATACGCCGTATTGGTGCAATTTATTTTGCATAGTATAAAGATTTTCATGAAGACTTGGTACCTAATTTGACAGCGTGTATCTATTGAAATCTGTAACTAAATGTTATTAGATAAATAAACGAGGAACTTTTATTTTAAAACGCTGTAAAAGCAAACAAATTATACTTGTATATATTTTAAGAAGAATTAATGTTATTTGTAATATAAAATAATTATGGGGAAACAATGACTGTTATTTTAATTTCTGCATACGCGCGAAATATATGAATTTATAATATTTAAATATTTCTTACGAAAACCTAGACCAAAAATTGACTAAGAAAAAATTTAGCTTCCGTTTTCAGATTTTATTATAATTAAAAATAAGTGCGTTATATAGATGAAGTAATTATCATTCTTTATTATTATTAGTTTAGCTCAGTCTTTTGAATTTTTTTTTAATTATTGGTTTATTCTATTCCTAAATTTGTTTGAAACTTTATAGAAATGTTATATTTTAACTAATATTAAATTAAATGTGATATTAAAATCAAAATAAAGTTAAATTAAATGCACCTGAATAGATTTGAACAAGGATCTGTTGTGAAAAGACAAATTTTTTCCAAAAATTTTATTTAACGCTATTGAGGAAAATCAATATCCCTTTAAAATGATGTTCTTTACACTTTGTGTTAGTTGTAGTAACATTTTTAACTAATGTTAAAAAAAGAGAACAATGGTTGTTAAAATATAATAAGAGGTGCCGACTCACACAAAAAAAATAAATGGTGCGAATTAGAAATATAATGTATCAATAGTTACTAAATCACCTTAACTACATCGTTGTTCTAATGTGTGTGCATAATAATTCTGCACAATCACATGATTTGAAATCATACACAAAACATGATATCCTAATTTCCTTGCTTAGTTATACATGGAACCCAACATAAAGTATTATGGGAAACATCTGAAGACTATGCTACTCCTTATATTATATTATCTACAAAAAGATACAATTGTCACCATGGTTTCGATCGGAACGCTGCTGCAAAAAGGAAGCATAATGACGCAAAAGAAAATCAGATAAAGATTCTCCTATTTTTACAATTCGCATCGTTGTCAAATAAATTTATGTTCACTTTGGCTATTTTTTTATAAAGAAAGAGGATCATTTATACTTAACTGATTATGTTATCATACAAGATACTAAAAAGTTTAATTGTCCTGCAAAAGCCATTATGAAAGAAATGGTATATTTCACTGACTTCAAGGTAACAAATCTACTGACATTACAATGTTCTATTAAATAGGAAATCATTTTATAAATTATTACGCACTCACAATAATTTATTAAGTTCTTAACTGTTTACTGTCGATCTATTACTTTTGAAATAATCTTTGTTTAGTTTTCTTATTTAAATATTTTTTCAGCTTATTAATTCCAGTAATTATCGTAAGAAGCAACAGTCAAAAGAAATAAAATATTCGTTGCTACAAAAAAAGGCTGTGGTAATTAGTCGAAAAATTATTGTTGAGATAACTTAAATGATCACAAAAATCACCCTCTTGGCAAGGTATTAATGCTAGAGTTTTCTTAACTGCGTTTAAATAGTCTTATTTTGACTATAACCAATAGTTTTTGTATATTCATAAAGTACCTACACACAACGGTGACGACATAAAATCCTAAATTGGGGCATGTGGACTTTTTAATCGTTGTGAAGAAAAAAGAAGCTCTAATATAAAACTCTGATATTTGTTTTAATTAGCTTTTATAACAGTAAATCTTTTTAACGTTTCTTAGATTGAGCTACTCTCACAAAAAATTGATCCACGCTTATCAGTTAAAATTTCTGAATACATTAAAGATGGTGTTTCTAATGTGCGTGAGATGAGAAGACTTTTACTGTCAATGAAATGTTTGGAAAGAAAAATCTTCCTTCTAGAACCAACAGAAGATTTTATCCAAGAACTGACATAATTCGTTCGCACATGGTCAAAGAGCGTCTAAAGCAAAGGTAATAGAGTTTAAAAAATGCAAAATAAATAAATTTTGATGTTGCAAATATTATAATATGTAGGACTATTTAAGAGAGGTTTTAGGTGTTTATTAAATATTAAAGATAACTTCAGTCATTCATTAATTTAATCAATCTTTTTAATCAACCAATTCAATCAATTATTCACTCAATCATATAACTAAAAGCAACAACAAATCTATGTTACTAATTTTTATAATTTAATATTTCATTTTATAAAGCAGACAATAAAATTTAATGTTTTAGATACTCGATCATCGACCAAGACTGCTTAGAAATCAAAATAAAAGAATGGAAAGAAGCTGACTCATCTGCCAATATCTATTTTCGACCTAAAGAACGGGGTAACAGTGCTGAGCTCTTGTTTGTATACCCAGCATTTTGGAAAAAAAAACTGCTAAAAAAATATGGGAATGAGATGTTGTTTTTAGATGCAACATACAAAACGACACGATATTCTTTACCTTTGTTTTTTTGGGTTGTCAAAACAAAAGTGGATTATCAAACTGTAGCAACCTTTGTAAGCGAAAGTGAAACTTTTGAATCGATATCTGAAGCACTTGTTATCTTAAAGTCTTGGAATGAAGATTTGCAACCTCTTTATTGCATGACTGATTATTGTAATGCTGAGATACGTGCTCTCGAAACTATTTTTATTTTTATTTTTATTTTTATTGGTGCGTATTTATTTATTTTACATGAAGTTAATTTAACTATACAAACATCCAATGAATCAACTGATTTTTAATATATTTTTTAGGATGTAACGTATTTATATGTGACTTTCACAGAGAACAGTCTTGGGACCGTTGGCTATAAAAGCTATCAAGTGGTTGCTCTAACAGAAAAGATGATATTTTATGTATTTTAAGACGACTCGCTTGGTCAAAGTCAATTGACGAGGAAGAAAATGCTCAAAGAATATTGGAACAGTCTGAATTCTGGAGTCAAGAAAGCTTTACTAAGTTTAAACAATATATAGAAAAGTATTGGCTCCCAATTAAAAAAGTATGTAAAATATAAATTTTTTGAAATACAGGGAGATTCAATAAAAAGTTGTTTAATTTTTTTATATTTAACTGAACAAAACAAAATAAAAAAAAAAGCTTTTTTTAAATTAGAGGTGGGTTTGGTGGTACAGGCAGGATCGTCTTCTTATCAATTGCAATACAAACAATGGTGTGGAAAGGCAGAATGAGTCTTTTAAATATACTTATTTACAGCGACATAAAAACTCATCATTGACTGGAATGTTAACTTTGCTTATTGATGACTTCTTCATTGATAAACTTGACAGGTATCATTTTTTTAAAGTTTCGTTACGTTTGTACCAATTTTAAAAAGTAATAAACACCTAAATAAAAAACAACAAACGCTTTCTCTGGTTAAAAAAAAACAAGTTCAGAAAACTTAGGTATAAGTATGTTAACAGCAGGTTTTTACCCTATATATTTAATAATAATTCATTGTATAGATTGTTCACGTAACTAATATAAATTTTTTTTTCCTTATCATTACATTTTGCATTTTAAAGATATCGTGTCTATGGTACTACATACCAAATCACTTACATTCATTTACACAATATTGGGTTTTTCCTAATTTAACTTTATTAAAGAAACTTTGTTACTATGAATATTATTTCATTTAGCTTTACTGATTTCAGCTTTAAAATGGATGCACGTTACAGAAGGTATGCACGTTGGGTGCCAAGTTATCTTTACAACCGTCCTCATAGCTTTGTTAAACATTGCCTAATAAAAAAAAGTAACGTTGAGAATCTTGATTTGTCCGGAGTAATCATGATTAAACATGGAGTTTTTGCTGTATTAAGTTCTACCAAACTAGCTACTAAATATTTTGTATCATTTGGTGATGAGATTACAATGCCAAAATGTACTTGTTTAAATTGGATATCAACTGCATATCCATGCAAACATTTTTTTTTAGTATTTAGAAAGTACCCTGCTTGGTCATGGAGTGCTTTGTCATCATTATATCTAAGTTCACCATTCTTAAACTGATCTTAAACTTAATGCTGATGATTACGAAGCATCACACGAAAAACCACCATTTAGTAGGCCGGAAAGTTCAATTCTACCTAAAAAAGAACTAGATGTCATTAATGATTGGAATGAAAAATCTAAAAAAATTACAAGTGTTTGCTCTGGAGTAAATGTTAGGGAAATGCTTACAACAATTCAAAACCTAACATATGAATTTGAGGAAAATTCAGAAGAAATTGTTCTTGTTTATAGCACTCTTGCTTCTCTCATTAAAAAACTTGAAAAAAATAGAACTAAAGAATCAGGAATTCCGCTTTCTCCATTGGATATCAAGTTGCCTTGTCATTTAAAAAGGAACATTCCAATTCCTCTTCGTAAACCAATGAAGCTTCCTACTGATCGCGTAGGTAATCACAAAGATATGGTTATTGCATCTTCGAAAATATTTCTAGAGGAAAAAAAACACAAAACCGAGCCGATTGAGGTCGACATTATTGAACATATTGATGGAAATAGTATAATTATTGATGATGAGTCAGTTACTATTAATGAAAATGATGGATTCGAGATAAAAAGACTAAACCATTTATCACCTAACTGTAATCTCTCTTCCAATGATTTGAATGATATTTTAACAAACCAAATGTTATCTGACATTGTAATCCACACCATGCAAAAGATGATCACAGGTGTAGGCGGTCTCCAAGACCCAGTTCTTGGACAAAATCTATCGTTCCGTGTACAAAAAGCACCTTTTGTCCAGGTGTTGCATGATGGCGATGCCCACTGGTTGGCTATAAGTAATTTTGGATGTTCTGTTGGTAAGGTTTTTCTTTTAGACAGTTTTTTTCTTGGAAAAGTAAAAAACCATGTGGTTAGGCAAATTTGTGCTATTATGCATTGCAATGAAGATAAATTAATTGTCCGCGTTGTACCGGTGTAGTATGAGATTTTCACTCCCGTGTTTTTTTTACTCCCTAGTAAAAATATCGTATGAAGTTTTTACCGCGGAGTAAAAAAAAGCATATGAGTTTTTACTCTCACTATTTTATTTTTACTCTCAAGTTGTTATTAGCGGAATTGCATATCAATAAAACATGCACTCTAGATTTGCAGACATTTTTAGTTACTTAAAATACCAAATATATCCAAAAGAAGTTTTAAATAAAGGCGATAAAGCCAATTTTAGAAGACAAACTAAGCCATTTATAGTTGATAATAATGAGTCATATCATTTAAATAAAGCTGCAAAGGTATGCTATTATTTCAAAATGTTTTAATAGTTTTGCCATTTTGCAACTAGAATCTAGTCACCAAATAAACACGAATATTTACAAATAATTTATTTAATAAATAATGAAAGTTAATTTAGTTTTGATTCTCATTATATTGATGGTTTACAGCTTCTTTTTTTTATAGAGAAAAGTTATTTGGAGTAGAGATGAACAACAAAACATAATAAAGTTTGTTCATGAAGGAAACGATGTCTCTGTTGAGTCTAAAGCTTTATCTGGTCATACAGGTATTAATAACACAACCTATCAAATTCAAAGTAGATTTTTCTGGTATGGAATGATAAAAGATATTACAACTTATGTTTCCAAATGTGACCTATGCCAAAAGTCAAAGAACAGAAAACTTCAGTCGAAACCATTGCTGCAAAATATTTCAATTCCTAAAGGCAATATGAAGCAGGTAGGAATCGATTTAACACAGCTACCAGAAGTTAATGGTTGCAAATATCTGGTTGTATTAATCGACTACTTCAGTAAATGGGTTGAAGCAGAAGCACTTACCGATAAAAAACTGCTAAAGCTGTGTGGCTTTTATTTTGTATAAACAGATTTGTCGACATGGCTGTTTTGAAATTCAAATAAATGACCAAGGTCGTGAGTTTGTAAATGAAATTTCTAAAGAACTTTACTCAAAAACAGGAACAATTCAAAGAATTACAAGTGCATATCATCCTCAAGCTAATGGATTAGTAGAGAGACAAAATCAAACAATTAAACGTATATTAGTAAAAGTGCTTGATGAG